AATTAAGAGAATTTTATTAATACAAATTAAAGAACAATTTTAAAAAATATTTAAAATTCATTACCAAACGAATATTTAATATCTAATGTTGACCTCCATTGTTCAAGTTTATCTTAACTTCATCTCTACTCTTATCAGCAAGAAGAATATCATCAGCAAAAGCATACAATAGGGTGCATCCTCTTGCAAATGTATGGTAAGAACATCCATGGCTAAAGCAAAAAGCATACAATAGGGTACATTCTCTTGCAAATGTATGGTTAGAACATCCATGGCTAAAGCAAAAAAGAAATTCATGGCTAAAGCAAAAAAGATATGTTCTTAAACCTAATCTATGTAATCCAACTGAAATAGGAAAAAAATTCGTCAAAAGAAACGAAAAAGCAAACCTTCCGTCGGCGAAGATGAACGACCGTCGGCGGTGAAGCGACCACAAAAGCTATGAGACTCGTCGGCAAACTCCTCTGACCGCCGGCGATGGCGATCTACGGGCGAGCGACGGAGGGCGACAACGATCTACGGGCGAGGTGAGAGAACGGAAGGAAAGAAGTGACGGGCCAGAGGGGCTCAGTTTCGGAAAATAGGGCTTTCGGCGGCGGATTTTCAGGCGGATCCGACGCCGGAGATTTTTCCGGCGCAACATTCGCCGGTTTTGTTTCGTTGAGTTTAAATAGCCCGGCGCAATATCCGCCGGTAATAGCGCCGGTGATTTTCCGCCTTAAAGTGCGACGTAAATAGTGAGAAATTGGTTTATTCCGACGCATAGACCGGCGCCAATATCGCCGGAACCTTTCCGGCGTCGTTGGCGCCGGTAAATCCGCCGTAGGTTTTCCGTCGCAGCATGCGCCGTTTGTTACCGGCGCAAAATGATCCGCCGGAAAGTCCGGCAGTAATCGCGTGTTTTCCCGTAGTGACTTACATAATTTATTATAAACACCATTTCCCATTCATTTCGTTTAACAGAAAGTAGAAAATGAAAAAAAAAAAAAAAAAAAAAAAAAAAAAAAAAAAAAAAAAAAAAAAAAAAAGGAGAAAAGAGAGGGAGAGTAGAGGGAAAACTTAGGTTTGGAGGTCATAAAATCGATTTTGCTTGTCTGACTAGTGGTGAAATTTATTCATATCATTGTAAATTATCATTTTCTTATATCTGATTTTATAATTTTATGTATTTTATGTTTCATGAATTTTTATTTGATCAAAACTTATAAAAATTATGATATCTTGATTTTTAACAAACTTCTAACATGTAAATATGATCCTCTAGAGCATTTTGACTATGGTATTATTCAATTTTACCTGGTAAATTGAAAGCTATGATTTTTCGAAGTAAATGTATAGTATATAAATTTGGTAGATTTCACTGCATCTTATGTAATAATACATTTCATACCTGATATTGACTTTGTATTTCACAGAAAAATATAACATTTGCATATAAATATGAAAGGCTGACTGTTAACACTATAATTAATACGGCTGGGCTCTTAAAATATAATATCTTATACAAGAGAGCATGTCGATGGGCTTTTGTTTAAATAAAATGTTGGTATTTTGATCTTAGTTATAGCATTTAACCGATTAACTAAATTACACCAATAGATAGGGGGTGATGACTTTTAAATAATTATTGAAAGTCATATGTGAAAATAAATAAATAATATACATAAATAATAGATAAGACGAGACTGCCAAATAAATATATATGATAGATTACAGATTGAAGGAAACACAAGATTAAAGCTGGATGTCCTCTATTGCTCTTTATAATTGTATTTATGATTTTATTTATATAATAGTGCATTACACTAATTGATAGATTGATTGATATAGCATATTGATAGATATATATATATGACATAATGATTAATAGAAGCATATAATAAAACAATCAACACAAACATAACTGATGGATAATTAATGTTTGGTGCAATACGACTTTGTTATAAATGTATTGATATTATACTAATTTTGTTATAAATTGATAGACACCTTTTGCTTAGTGAGATACTCTTGTTTTACTGATAATATTAATTTTACTATTGAATAATATTAATTGTATATAATATTTATCATTCATATTAATAGCTTATTGATTAATATTGATTAGAACTAGAGCAAATATATTGAATCTTTTATCTTGTATTGAAGGCAGTGATAAATTTTAGTTACTTACTAGACTTCATAAGCTCATTATATAATTTTTACATGATTTCAAGTAAAGGTAAGGATCATACAGATTGAGGCTTAGAAGTAATGTAAGTTTTGATTTCATTTAAGTTCTCTTATTTATATATATTTTTTACAGTCGATAGTGGCTACTGTATATATTTTTTTTAGCTTTAGATTTTCTAGCAAGATGTAAATTTTAACAATAGCAATGTAATTTGGAGTGTCATCCAACTCTCTGTAATATGTTTGCTAGAGAGTCTCATGTCTGCTTGACAACACCGCAGTGCTAAAGTCTGAAGCATTACAACACCCCCTAAAAGCACCAGCATTTGGAGCAGCACAGTGCTCCACTTTCTATCTGTCTCCAAGCAAACTACATAGCACAACAGAGCTCGCGTACACAGTGTCGCAATGTTGTACGATTGTATAGAAAAAATTCATGTGCAAACCACCCAAAATCAAGCAACCCCCTGCAAACCCCATCAAACTCTATAGATTTAATTGAAATATGTAGAAACAATACAACTAGATTGATCAACACAAGTTGATTTCACACAAAACTAACAAAATTAGGCTTTAAATTAGAAAATTTTGGTGTAAATAAAGAGCTCCTCTCCCTAATATTTCTCTCTAAGTGCAACCAATATATAAGTCCTTGGATTTCAGCACTCTAATGCACTCGGGTCATACATTCCCTATGTCCTCATTAAGAATTGTAGTGAAAAGGGTGAATTTTAGCACCACCTGCACACATGCTACTTGAATAATTGAACACAAATCACCACACAAACATGATTTACAATATCTTGGGCAGTGAAAAAAATATGCCGCACTAAATATTAAAACCAACTTTTGTAATCTCTTAGATACAACATCACATGTGTTAGTTAGACCCAAAAGTTTAAATCTATAAGTGAACGTCAACCACCTATCTTTTACATAGACATTTCCTTAAGCTTCTAATGTGACTGAAGACTTAACAACAAGCACATAAGATTTTACTCTAAAGCTCAGTGTTATGCAGCAGTCCATTGGACAAAGCTGAACCCAACTTTCCTTCAGCACTCGTAGAACGAAGAATTTATGCTTACAAAACAATCATCTATTTATTACAAGTCATCTCTCTCTCTCTTAATTAACACAAAATCAACTGTTTTTCTGCACAAGAGAAACATTCAAGATTACATACATTCTGAATAAAGAATTAAGCCATATAACGCTACCCTCCCCTCACTGAATATATTAATACAATGTACTCTCAAGAACATATTTTTTTTCTTCCCAAAATCAAAAGCAGCAGGTTTTCTGGCTTCATTTAGGCTTCGTTTGGGATGGCTTTCGTGATGCTTCTTAAAGCAGCTTTCTAGTACAAAAATTAAATTTTTTGTACTCAAAAGCTGCTTCAAGAAACAGCGAGAAAGTCGTCCAAACGAAGCCTTAGATGAGGCTGGTATAAGCGTTGGATGATTGAAGAGGCATTCCCAAGCCATAGGGCTGTTGACCTACTGCAGCATATGGATTTCCCAATGGGTTCGGGTTTAGCGGGTGGAGCTGTTGCTGACCCATCATAAGCATCATCTGCTGTTGCTGCTGCTGTAGCAAGAATGACTGTTGTTGTTGAGCCATGGCTGCCATTTGGACAGAAAGGGGCGCAGCAACTGTGTTAGATGGGTAGAATGGGTCATAAGCCATGACTGTCTGTTGCATCATGGGGGTTTGGTCCCATGGATTGTAGTAGCTTGTTGGCTGGTTAGCTCTTCTGATTGCATCATCGTATAAACTGTCCAATGTGAGCTTATCCAGTCCTCCAGCCTGATTTTAATATTGCACAATAATAAACATCAAAAAGGGAGGACAGAAATTTGAGGTGTGGGTAAGAGTTGGAGTAATTATTCTGTGCGGATGCCGAACGCTGTCCAGAGCCTAATGAAAATGCGCCACGTTACTCGGTACTGAGTATCGAGGCTCGGTACTGTAGCTCTGTACCAGATGACGTGATGCATTTTCATTGGGCTCCGGACTTTAGCTGCATCCGGTGCCACACAGAATAATTATTCTAAGAGTTGGGTTTAATTTCTTGGAATGTTATAGATCATAGTTTAGCACCTACCAGTTTGCTTGAAGCTGCAGTAGTATCATTAGAGCTAGGAGTGGTAACAAGTGCCAGCTCCCACCCCGTGGTTCCATTACTTGATGAAACACCAATAGATGTAGTAGTTGTTGATGGATTGTCTGCAACATTTCTCAAATAGTGAAACAGTTTACCAGGAAGAATATGTCAGCTTCTAGAGAAAATAGAGGATAAGAAAAGAGAAGTATTTACCAACGGGAACAATTGCGAGAGCCAAGGCATTTTTAGCATCCAATTCAGATGCATCTGGGTTGGTATCATGTAAACCCTGAGGCACAAGTGGAGGTTGTCAGGTTGAGTAAATAAATCTATGTATATTTTATTGCAATTTTGCCGATCTCAAATGGATATACCAGCAGATCAGGTTCCTCAGACACTATTGGGGCAGCTGCAACCTTTTCTGGTTCTGGTTTAGGAGGAGGTGGAGATGGAGGAGGGGCATCCTGCTCTTCAGGAGCTTTCTTATCTTCAATGGCCAAAATAACTTTTGGAGATGCTTTCTCTTCTACCTGTTTGATTTGCAAGTATATTTTCCCCAAAGTGATGAATGTTTACTAAAAGAAATGCACTCAACCAAGGTAGAGAGAATGCTAAATCAAGAAATTCAACTGTTTGTATAGAAAATGTTATAAAACCACAAACTTAAACGCAAAGGTAATGCTTCACTAGATAATATTTCCAGTAATAGCGTATATTAGCACTGAGAGTCAATCTAGATAGTTCAATAATGCACCAAAAGAAAAAATTGCCACCTTCCTAACAGTTGAAGCTCGTGGAGCTTCTCTAACATACTCCTCCATAGCAGTGAGAAACGACGCAGGTGGCTGCAAAATAATATAAGAACTTGAATATGAACACCCAAAATATTGAAAAAATGGTAATGTGAAGTAAAAAAGTTTAGATGCTATAAGAAAACCTGTTCGATTTTAATATTTTTTTCTCCACATCCAATATCAATGCTTTTGGACACTTCATAAAATTCTGACAATCTCTCAGCCTGCAAATTACTACGTAATTAAAGGATAGCTTAATATAAGGTATACTATACAAAGCATCATCATCATCATCGTTAGCCTTATCTCAATTATTTGGAATTTGACCTTATGAATCCTTATTATCCATTGATTGTTGCTTGAGATTGTCCAAAGAGTTACACCTACTCTTCAAAAATCATTGTGAACAACTTTTATTCATGAAAAGTTAGGCCTTTCTCCTTCCTAATACTCATACTAATTTCATTTACTTATCTATTATAGTTATTTCTACATTTAGTTTCATATGTAAATCAAATAATTTTTTTTGCAATTATACATCCACTAAAAGGATTTTTTATTCTTAGTAGAACATGTTCTTTCCAAACTTGTTGTAAAGGAGTATTATTTTGAATTCTGAACAACATACATGATGTTAGCATCATCTATATAGAATATGTTTTCGGAATTGAAATAAATTTCATATACAAAAACTTGTAAAGGCCCAATAACATTTTGAATATTCCAACAATAAAAAAGGTCAAAAAGATAAATGAATAAATAAAATCCATCAAACATGAGAAAAAAGGGAAAAAAAAGCAACATACCTGTTGACCCACTCTTCGATATATTTCAAGCGCCTTGAGAGCATCAGGGCGTTGCATCTCAAAGAACTGTCATAATATCAGCAATTTCGTAGGGGTCAATATAAAAATAAATAAAATAAAATGATATTGCATGTATCAGTGCTTGTAACCAAAATAAAAAAACAAAACAAAACCTTGTCAATCATATTGCTTGTACCATTGCTAATGGCATTATAGATATTTTTACTCTCAGCAAAAACCTAAAAAACTCACGTCAGAATATAAATATTTTTACGGTATAAGATATAGAATAATAGCTTATAAATTATTCTATTACCATTGACAGTGCCAGCTGAATTACAAAGTTGTAGACAGCTGCTCCTTGTGGCTGCACAAATTTTCAAGAAAAATAGACAAGTAACATTTGAACGTCTTCTCTAACCATTTTGCTTGTTACAGATATTCTTAAGAAAAAAACAAAGTTAAACAGACTTCATGAATCGCTGTTAACATACCTGGCAGTTAATGAGGCGAAATAAGAGTTGCTGCAGCGCAGGTAATTGCACAAGCAACTCAACAGTATCAAGATCCCGAGTTCTCTGTAAAAATTACTATCTTTAGGACATCTTTAAAATAGCAAAGACGAGAAAAGGTCTACTACATTTCAAAGTGTTGCAATGAAAAAATTATCAAGCCTTTGCCATTAGAAAGAGAAGAAGAATATCCAAAATAACACAGATCTAAGATATTGTAACTTCACAAAAAACACAAATGAATCATATGTAAATTGATGGGCTGTTGTTTGGATGTATCAGGAGTTTAGAATAAACAATGATTATAAAACCTTAGGTGTTTATAGGAAGTAAAATAAATGGAAAATAATATTTGGAAGAATTTGGAATCTCCTCATTAGGCTACTTTTGTTGTATTTCATATTCGCCTAAATCGGACAAATTTGGTATACCCCATCTAATGAAGAAAATTGAACGTAGACTACAACCCCATCAAAAATCTGAAGCCCTGTCCCCGCAACATGACCGTGCGAACCGCACCTTTGGCGCACAACTGCATTGGGGCTCCATAAAAACCTGCATGTGCTACCTTGATAGCGATCCCACACATACACCTAGGTCTGAGACGCTCATAGTGACCCCATACCTGATTCTCTATTATCGTTGCCAACATACGTCCACGGTCCACATCCTATAATTGATTTCCATTTACACCCAACAAAATAAAAAAAAAAAAAAAAAAAAAAAAAAAGATTTTTTTTTTTCATTTTATTTAACAATTAATGAAACAAAATTAAGAAATCAAAATGCATAGTATCTAATATACACAGTTGAAATACACCAATATCCTGAATACTTGCAATCAAACAATCCGTAATAGAATTTGCTCAAAAAATATAAATAAAATAAAAATTGTCAGTCAACACTGAGACCTTTTTCCCCGCTATGTTATTATAGTTAATTAAACAAAGAAATGATGAATCATATTCTATGAGGTATGATGATACATAATAAAATTACATATAAATATCTTAGCTTAGAAATTGCATTCATTGTAGTTATTATGCTCGCTAAACATGAGCATCACCAATTCAGAAATTTTCTTAAGACAGCATGTTTCATTCATGCATTACAATCTCATCAAAATGTTATTGAAGGATGACACTGATTACCTGTTTTATTAAACTATTCATGTCCTCTTTGTCGTTCATGTCGCATGCTTGTGTCTTACCGTTTATGCATTAATGGATAAAGTCACTTATTGGATTTGATTTATCAAACTCACTCGTTTTTCAATTGCTCATAAAAAGCTCACTTGCTGTATTTGATTAATCAAACTCGTTTTTAAATTTATCACAAAAGGCTCTGCCAAACTGCTTGGTGGACCATCACCACAAGAGCTGACTTATCAACAGTAAGATATCATTTTGTATTTAAAGATTTTTTTATAGTAATTTATTTTTATTCCCTGGATTTAAGTTGTTTTATTTCTGTATTTGTTACTTTCAGTTTCCTTTTCATTTGGTGTTGTTACTTCTTTGTTGATGTACTCTCATTTTGATTTATGATAATAAAATAAAATCTTAATTTCTCTTTCTTTGTTTACTCTAATATGTTTTGTTTATATAGTTTGTATATGAATTTTTTTTCCGAGTAAAAAACAAGTTTTCACAACCCTTCGTTAAAAAACAAGTTGTGACACATTAATTGATTCATCCTAACTAGTTTTAGCTAAAACCAACAATGAGGCCCGATAAAGTAGTAGAACCATTGGAAGTTGGCATCTCCCTTATGAGACTTCTGAGATAAATCACACCAAAGTTTTATTGTAACAAGTGTATAAAAGATGAATTTTAAACAAACATTCATAAAGAAAATGACTGGCATAAAGATCCACTCTACACCTTTGACTAATGCCATCTCAAACTAAAAAATAGAATGGTAACTCCTTCGAAGGCCACATCAAAAAAGAAATACAAAACAGTTAATAAAAACTATACCGGAGGATCTGTCTCAACATCATACTTCAACACATGAAAACATTCAAGCCTTTCCTCTAAATATAAAGCATATGTTCGAACCCATGCAGAGTAGTCCCATGCTGAGCACCAAATAGAATAACATTAGTCAAAGACAAGGCTAAAATTAGACCAACTCGTTTGAGCAGAAATGTAACACTAGTACCATTTGCACTGGAATCGTCCTTGAAATGAGACAAGTTTAGCATATGACTTCTACTTCTTCCATAATTGATAAGTTCCTCACGAAAGGTAGGATCAACCTCCCTCAAAGCACGATGTATAACTATCAAAGTCTTTAATGCAACCTGAACAGGGTGAGAAAACACAAAAAGACTGATTCAGAACTAAAGCTTTTACATGAGCCTAAAAAAGGTCGAGATTCTAATAAAGGAATATTCAGCATTCAATTAGGTATAGAAGCATGCAATTATAAAAACTTCGCTAAATGTTCTCACTGCACTATACATCAGTTCACAAAGTTCTGTAGAATATGTTTTAAAAGGAGAAATTCTCAAATCAGGAAAGCACCATAGATTGGGATAATCCAAAGAGAGATTGATACTTTTTTACAGCTTCAAATGCTTACATGGAATGTTTGGGACTTGCAGCAAGCACTTTGGTGGCCTTACATTGGCAACAAAGCAGCAGCTTTTTATTTCTTTCTTCTTTAAATGTAATGCATGGGCTGTCATAGTTAGTTTGTATTGTGCTTCACTCTCTTTTGTTTTATTTTCTTGTGAGAGGTCTTTTTAGAGGCACTATACCAGATTGTACTCATTGTATACTTCTTACCTTAATACTTTTTGCCTTTATTTTAAAGTAATGCACATGTACTTTTTTTAAAAAATGCCTACAGGGAATTGAAAATGCGTCTTAAGTTGAAGTTGAAAGATGCAAAACCTTGTTCCTTGCTCTGATTTCTTTTGAATTGATGATTTACCAAATCTACGGAGAAATGATTCGTGAGAACACCATATAAACTCTAAAAACAAGGGACATTGAAATCCAGGGAGGAAAGGACTGTTAAGGATCCATATTTGGTGTATAAGAAACTTTAAGGTATATAAAATGAAGGAGATTTAAGCAGTAAACATAAAACGGTAAACAAAAAACGGCAGAACTAATAAGGTGTGTTGACTCGATAATAGCATGAATTGCATTCTTAAAGTCTTCTGAGAGTTTACCAACTCAAAGGAAACTATGGCTAGAAACGCATTTTACTACTTTTAAAAGGCACATTTTTTAACTTGTACAAAAATTTCAGCAAATTGCAATATGACAAGATCCTCAATAAAAATATAATAAACAAATATGCAGACAAAACAGAACCAAAAGAATAGTTATCTACATACAGCCCAATTGTGCGTCTTCAAAAGGCGCCTAGCAAGAGCATGAATGCAGTATGCCACATCTGCCCGAGGTCTTGCAGCTGAAACAGCTAAAAATATAGCTGCAAAGGAATTTAAAAGAAACTGTATCAGGTATAGACAATTGGTTCAATTAATAGACAGCATAAAACAAAGCTATAATAAAGCAAATCCTCAAGAGTCTGACTGCAATGAGATAATTGAGATTCAATGTTGGGTTTTAAGAGAATCAAAGCTCCAAAATCAACATAAAGACAAATAAGGCATCTAATAAATCATATTCCAACATTTTGATATGGATAGAGGATTAATGAAGCAATTTGAGCATATTGTGTTAGAATGATGAAACACCTGGAGCCCAAATTAATGCCAATATAGTAATAGATGGACCTCCATTAAGCCCAAAACCTAACCTAATAACCTAAGCTAATGGGTATGGGCCACTACCGGTATTTTGAAAACACAAAATTTAGTTCATGTTTTATATGGGACTATTCTCCACTCTCATATGGATATCAACAATCTGTTCTCTCATACAAGATTTATCTATATTGGGCCATTACTCCCCTCTAACAAAAGTTTTTCAAAAACATGTCACGCACAATGAGCACATTCAGCCACACAACCATGACCAGTAGGATACACAAATCAAATGAAGCATTTAATCCAAATGAAACAATTCACATTAATATTACTTGTTAGGAGGGTGAAACAAAGGGGCTCAAATTGAGCCCAATTCACTTTTTAATGGAGCTTACAGACTCAAAGGCCTAAGCTAATGGGTGTGAGCCAGTGCTAGTATATTAAGAACTCAAATCTTATTCCATATATGTTGTAACACTACCCTCTATTAAGTCACATGAAAGGATACACAAACTAAGGTGAAAGGAGAGAGGAAGACATGTACATAACCCAAGGAAGAGAGAGAGTAGGCATATGTGGGACTCTAAAAGTTCTCACCTCAGCCTCTCCACATTGGAAGAATTTTAACAAAAGTTTTCGTTCAAATTTTCAAAAGGCAGATTAGCTTGAAAATGCACTATCCATAAATTTCACCCTTATTTCATTGGCGCAACCCTATAGTTAATTACTCTCCAGGTGGCGGAAGAATACTTTCGATTAAGACTAGTCATTAGAAATGCGCTAAGCACGAGTGTGTAGTAGCAACAAATTTGATATTAGATTTAAAATATACCATCTTGCACTTAAGACTTTGTTATATGAGTTCAAGTTTTCTATTGACGCAAGCTCCTACAGTTAATTACCTCTCCCGTAATGGGTGAGCACTTTCGATTAAGACAAATCATTAGAAATACCTAAGCACCGAGTGAGTAGTAGCAACAAATTTAGTATTGGATTTAAAAATATAGCACATTGCACTTAAAACGGATGGTGGAGGAAATGATGATGAACCCGATCAATATTTCATTGTTCCATCATCCCAGATTGTTGTGAACCTAGTCTAAGTCAGAGGAGGTAGTAGATCCAATCAGACCAAAGGATCCTTATCGGTAACTACAAGTTGTTTTGTCTAAGGGTACCTTATAGACATAGGATAAGTATTTGCTTAAGGGGGGAAATTAAAGTTGACCTTAGCCAGCAGAGGTCTTTTTGTCCTATTAAGTACACTCTAGGATTCATTACTCAAGGGTTTTTAGTCATTTGAGAGTATATGGACTCTGACCATGACTGTAATTTATTGTTGTCTTTGTAGCAAAACCACCTAATCACAGAGCTCATATCATACAAATTTATTTGTGGCGTCATTTTATGGCAAAATCAATGATTACAAGACACATGTCACATCCTTATTGACTGGAGATAATATGAGAATGAATATGAGTGATATTCTCGACAAAGTATTGGCTCTTTGTGAGCTAAGGTTATTCTTAAATTTATCGCCCTCGACAAATAATTGCATAGGGTGAATGAATTTTGCTTTCAATTATTAGGAGTAGATTTCACTTGAATATTTTATATTTAATATATATTGAATTTTGAATTTTATTGTAATTTAAGCCCCAATGATTACTTTTTTAGAATTGAGTGCATTTTGAAAATTATGTAATCTCATATGATTGAGATTTTCTATCAATGCAGTAATCATCTAGATGACCTTTAAGTCACTTTAGGTATTCTATGTTTGCAACAAAAAAAAATTATTTTTTATATTTTGGAAAATAAAACACTCCAATTGCAATTTACTTTCAACAAGACAATCATAAAAAAATTAAATAATTTTATTTTATTATATAAATCTTATCTTACAAGCCAACAGAGGATCAAGTTCAAATATCGACTTTGTGAGTTTTCATATAAGCGTTAACTCAAGAGTTCATATTTTGTAATGAATTTCCTTTGTAAAAGGAATCAAAGGCCTAATATGAATATAAAACTAAATAAATTTATGGAGTTAAGGGTTGTATATTCATTCATTAATTCAAATTTTGTCAACTCCAATCCTTTCAAGGATGAGGTTAGACTTGAAATGTAAGTGTACATTTACTTTAACCAGTACAGTATTCTTAAATCTTAGGTTTAAAAATTTGATGTACTGATAAGAGCACAGGCAAGTAATTTAAATTTAAAAATAGACTTTAATTTAACCACTTTTAATCATATGCATCATTCTCAGACATTACTTTTGCACGTGTAGCACCTTCGTCGAAGCATATGCCGGTATTCTTATTTTCTTTTTAAATAGTGTGCATACTTTTTGACACACTCACACAATGCCTTTGCACAATAAGATCGCATGCATTCAACATATTTGAGCACTTCTTAGTAAGCTCATGCAATGTGCTTGCATGCTTATGATGCATTTGCAGGGTGCATATTAACGCTTTTCACCACTTCTTAGTGAGCTCACGCAATGTGCTTGCATGCTTATGATGCATTTGTATGCTGCTTATTAACGCTTTTCGATGAATTTGCATGCTCATTTTGCACGTACATAATGCATTGCACACATTTCGATGCATCTAAATAGCATTCATATGCTTTTCAATGGGCCTGTGCACTTTTCGATGTACCTCTGCAATGCACACGCCTGTATTTCGGAGCATCTGCATATCATATTCTCATACCTTTTAATACACATTATTTACCTAATTTTCTTAGTTTTAAAATAATTGCGCGCTTTTGCAATAATTGGATGCTTTCGACACAACTATGCACTTCTCAAAATAATAGCATACTTCTTGAGAAAAATAGTATGCTTCATGAAGCTGTTGCACGCTTCTTGAGACTACTAGTTTCTTGGGGTAACGACATGCTTCTAAAGGAAATGAACAATTCTCAAGGCAATGCACTTGCTCTTTTAAAATTATACTGCGGTGTGTTCCTGATTTAAAAACACTCATATTTTGATTGCTTTTGCATTAACATTGTTGACGAATATTTTCGCACCGACTCGACCCCGATCGAGCCCGACTAGGCTCGATCGCGCCCGATCGACTCGATCGATCGACGTCGAGACAAAATCGACTCAAATTAAACTCCAATTTAATTAAATTAAATCAATTTAATTAAATTAAAATTAAATCAAATCAATTAAAACCCAATTCGACGCTATCCGGCATCAATCGGAGTTCAATTTCGCAAAATTGACTCAATCGAACAAAATCGGACCCAAATCGACTCAAATCGATTCGGGTCGAGCCCAATTCGGAGCCAATTTCAGCCCCAATTGATTGATTTGGGCTCAATCAACTTCCCAAACCAGAAATCCAAACTTATGGCTGAGATATTCTCTCAAATCTCACCCAAAATTTGGGTCCAATGTACTCAAGCACATTTCACCTCGTTTCAAGCAACGAGGAAGCCGGATTGGGTATTATAGGCGGTGGACCTGCTCCCTCGTGCTGTCCGTCCGAACCCGTCCCGAAACAAGAGCGGGAGAAGCAGTGGGGAGCCGTATTCGGCTCTGTTTTTCCGTCCCGACCAGAGCGAGAGAGGGAGACGGAGAGAGCCTCTCGGCTCTCTGCGTGTGGTTCCGTCCCAGACAGAGCGGAGAAGGGAGTTCGGCTCCCCTTGCTTGCGCCGTGTCCATTCCGTCCCAGACAGAGCACGGGAGAGAGCCTTTCGGCTCTCTGTTTCTTCGTCCGTCCCAGACAGAGCACGGGAGAGAGGGAGAGGGACATTTCGCCCCTTTGCGTGCGTCCGAAGCGGGAGAAAAAAAAAAGGGCCAAGTCCGGCGCTCTCTAGCCCTAACATTCGGCCCTAACGGGATCGGAGGACTTCTCCATACCGCTGCTTGTGTTCTTCAACCCAGAACGAGGTAGAAGGAGAAGCTGACAGAATCTAAGAAGAAACGACATTCTTCTAGCGTGCATTTGAGCCGAACAGAGAGGAAAGGGGCTGTCATTTGCTGTCTTTCTCAAATCTCAACCAACATTCACTTGAGAAAGTTTACTTTTCCTCATATCTCCTCTCCGGTGAACTCCAAGCAGCAAAGACAGTACTTGGGGATATCGTGACAGCAAACTCAAAGATGTTCCTCTTCCAGTCAGCATGAATACCAACATTGGCGAGTTTGTAGCGGTCGTAGGAGCTGTTGGAAATCTCCAAACAATAAGGATAGTATTTGGAGCAGCTTGAACAGCAAGGAAAGCTTCCAAACAGCAGATTGAAACCTTCGAACATTAAAAACTGCTGTTTGGAACATTTGGACAGCAAGCAACGACTTCCGGGAGCATCCAAACGGTGCAAATTGCTGTCCGGAGCAGTTTGGACAGCAAATTCCTCCTCCGGAGCGGCTTGGATAGTGACGGCGACCTCCGGAAAGTCTTGGACAGCGGTCTTCTTCCTTGGGAAAGTCTTGGACAGCAGCTTGGAGCATTCAAGGAAGCTTGGACAATGCTTGGAGCTTGGATTGGAGCGCTAGGACAAACCGGGGAAGGTAAAATCCTAAAACTTAGTGAAACCTAGGGTCCCCCAAGGCCAATTGTTGTGTGGTTGACGCCAATTCCGTGCCACAAGATATATGTTGATATGTAAGCGCCACAATATTC